CACCACGTCTACACTATATCTCACTACTTGAGTTGTTACACACAGATAAACTAGAGCACCAGTTTAAAGGCGACAATCAGGAGTAAGAGGGTGATACTAAACAACTTAGCAAGCACACAAATATGACTACACTAAACAACCACTACAACACAACCTAAGGTATGTTGCACAAAGTAAGCACTAAGCAAAGTAGAGAAGATAAATATATTAAATAAAGGAAAGTCTTACTAGAAAGGGAAATGATAGAAGAGCTACATCAGACTCCTTAAAAGACTAATTTGGGAAACCCGAGACTAGCTCACTACTCACTTTAGCTCCAACACTAGACTATCCTACTACATACAAAGAAAATGGTGGAGCTTTCTACTTCTTGGAATGTTGATCATGTCTTGTAAGTGAGGGGGTACCACCTATTTATAGTGGTGGATGAGGGCCCATGAATCCAAGTGCTTCACACCTCATCCTTTGGATCAATCCACCATAAGATGGATGGTGAAGATCCCACACACATGTGTTTCCTTGAATGTTGACGAAGAGACATCGGTGGAAGAAATCTAGGGTGGTTTAGCCGCCAGCAGGGTCGGCCGACCCCTTAACAGGTGGGCCCTCCCCACTTGGTGGGTAGGCTTGGTCCATCCTCCTTATGCATGTAAATGATAGCGGGGCCAATTCGATGTTTCCTGTACATGACGTGTGGGCCCGTCAATTCTTGTGAGTTGCGCATCTACCATCCAGAGAAAACAACTTCCATTCAAGGGATAGAAATCTATAGGAGTGTGCTTCCTTGACTTTCACCATGATTGAGGGCATGTGGGCCAGCCAGGAGGGTCGCTCAACCCTAGGGCTGCCCCACCTAGTCCCACTTTCTTCCATTTTCCTTCCTACACGTGAAACGACAATACAAGCGGAACTTTGTTATTTGAATAAAATATGCTCATGACATGCCCATTTTCTTTTATTCCAAGGTATCTTAATGGTTTCAAGATGTAAAATAATGTAATTTTTTCCATCAACACTTTGCATATACCATAAAACAACCCCGATAGATTACTCCAATAGAGATAGCATCTGTCGAGGTACAAGTGGAGAGAGTGCCAAAAGACCTGGTGCTTCCCCGACTTCCCCTCACTCTCTACCTGTTCTCTAATACCACTAGAGTGGTAGAGCTGTGCCTAGATATATATCAAAGTGAGAACTCCTCTATGTTATATTTACATGTGAGGTGTGCCTCTCTATTTATAGTGAAAAAGTAGGCCCATCGATCCATGGGGGATCAATATGAGCACCCACGGATCAAACCCACATCCATTTCACACCTACTAGTGGTCATAAATGTCCTCTTTGCATGTTGGAAAAGTTGAGGCAGATTTGGCTCAAGTGGATGTTGGGTGACCATGGTGGGTCGGCTGACTCCCAACTAACCTTTGGGCCCTCCATCTTCTGTGCGGAGCGAGGTCCAATGGTCATGGATGTGCTTCGATGCATTTGCTCAATGTCGATATGGTAGCAACAATGTTTCTTTACTGTGGATCGAAGATGGCATGGGTTGGTGATGTGGAGGCATCGGGCGATGCCTAGGGTGGTCGAGCGGCTCCCTGTTGGGCCCATTTTGTCTCAACTTTGACTGGTGGGTCCCTGCATGTTAGTATTGCTCACATATGCATGTATGCCATTTTTGGAGCATTTTAAGTATAGGGTATGATATTATTCATTTCAAATGTTGACTTAATTGACGGTTGGATTGATCATGTAATGACTGTCAAAATCTACCCTCTTCCAGTCCAAATGACAGGAACATGCACCTCTCACGGTCGGAGCGAGAGGTTCTAGAGACCTATCCCAATTACCAGTGCACGCCAGTGATCAGGATGGAATATATTACAATGATGGCACAATAGAGAGAAAAGAAAAAAATCTAATTGACTGACTGCCTTAAGCATTGCTGATCGAAGTGAATTATGCTTTTTGAAAAACTACTCTAAACTATAGCCTCTAATTTCCACCTAGTCAAAACCTATGCAAGAAAGTAATCTATCTTGATGTACAACTAAGGTTTTACTAGGTGTGTTATTGTCTCTACCACAATAGAGTTACACAACCTATGTTCCAATCCTATCACTAGCCTAGCAAGCTAAACTAGAAAAGTAAAGCACACAGCCTAAGTACACAATATAAAGCGCAGAAGGTTAATTGAGATAGAGATGTAAACTCTCATCAATGACTCCGGTATTTTTACCGAGGTATCGAGAAGCTCCTTGCTTCCTCCTAGTTCTCGTTGGAGCCCCTCGCAAGGGCTAAGCTCTTGGTCGGGTAACTCCATGGATAGCCCTTTGGTCTTCCTCCTGCATAAGTAGATCTCTGAGATGGCCTCTCCCGGCTATCTTCACTATTGAGCTTCCTGTCAAAACACCGCGGGTCTCGTTCCCTCTGGTACCCGGTGGCTATCACACCACAAAAGTAGTTGGTGTGATCTCACAAGAATAAAAGCCCCTCCGAGTATAAAGATGGCGCGCGCAAGAACTAAGTGGTAAGAGATATGCAAACCTTACTAAGGCACTAGGCTTAAATCTATAACAAGCGCATAAGTAGTCTAACTAACCTATGGACTTTGCAAAAGCATCTATGCTAATGACTAAGTGAATCCTGATGCACTTTGCTGGCTATAGCAATTAGATATTAGCCTCAGCTCACACTACACTTCCTTGAGCTCTACACCCCCCTCAAATGCCTTGCCAAAGGGGTATTTATAGCCCCCAACCATCAAACTAGCAGTTGGGGCTAAACTTTAGTCTCCTACCCTGTTTGGTTCTAGGGACTAAAGGGGGTTAAAAGGCTTTAAAGCTGCTGAACAAAGACTAAAATACCCTTCTTGAGGGGCATGGGCTGGTTGGGGACAACAATTATTGAGGGGCATGGGGTGTCAACTTGGTCCATTAGTCCCAAAAGCCTCACCCAAAGGGACTACATCCCACTAGTCTCTAGTCCCTCTAGTAGTCCCTCCTGTTTGGTTAAAAGGGACTAGAATTTAATCTCTAGTCTGTGGTCCCAAGGAACCAAACAGGCCCTGCCTCTGCGCACTCACCGGATGATTTGGTGGTGCCACCGGACTAATCCGGTGCCTATCCGAGAGCTAGACATTGGAGTAGCACATGGTCCTGTGCACATTCTCCCGTACCATCGGACTAATATGGTGAGTATATTTCTGCCGGTTCTAGTATTCATCCTTCACCGGACTTGATCTATTGATCCGGTGCTTGACACCAGACTAATAAGGTGTAGTAATCTGCTCTCTACAACCTCTCTGGTGGCCACCTATTTCTCCAATGCTGGTCTTCTGGTTACACCGGACTAATTCGATGAGTAGTACTCCTTTTTGGTGAACGGTGATAGCTTATATATACTCCCGTGATGCCCTCTTGTGAGCACCGGGCTAATCCGGCCGGTGGGTGTCAAAGCCCTAGCCTTGCACTGGAGTGACCATTTGCTCCAGTGCTACCTTCTTTTGAGCACCAGACTAATCCGGTGATGCTGAAACAGCAACAGCAACAGTTGGCTTGTTTCTTCATGATCTTCTTGCCCGGGTCGCTTCCACCATGTGTCTTGGATTTCATGCATCTCTTGTGAGTCTTCAACATGTCTTTTGATGTCTTGCTTGAGGTGTTGATCATCCGGATCACCACTTTGCCTAATACAAGTCCACTTGCATCCATTTGAACTATTCCTTGTGTACTAGCAAACAAATTAGTCCAAGTAGTCATGTTGTTCATTAAACACCAAAATCCATGTTAATGGCCTATAGGATCCCTTTTCCTTACAATTCCTAAACCTAGAGGCTCCCTATATAGTATAATTCCGGTGTGCCTTTCCCATGATGAGCCATAGCGAGTACAAGTGTTGAACCCCTACAACTATATAAAGGGCGTACCCAGTGCAGAGAGCTCCCGCTCTGTGCGGGGTCTGGGGAAGGGTGTCAGTGGCAAGCCTTACCCTCGCCTGTGCAATGCGAGGAGACCGCGACTCGAACCCGGGACCTTCCGGTCATAGGCAGTAAGACTCTACCGCGTGCACCAGGCCCGCCCTTCAGAACCCCTACAACTATATCACGTAGCAATATTGTATTAATTAATCTTGCACTTTCACCTCAACTCGTCGGTCATGGGTCTAAATATTAAAGCCAAGAGAAACAAACAAATGAACCTTTAAAATTTATTAAAATTTTTACATATGAACTTAGGCTAGTCTCGGTGGAAATTTCATCTCAGTTTCATGAACATTTAATAGGCTGTCACATAATCATTTCTGACGACACGTCAACATTTTTAAGAAGAGAGGTAAGAATAGTTGAGTTTCATGTGGATGAAACTCTGTGGGTTTCCAACTACAGATGAGTCATGGAATTAAATGTCAATAAAATAATAGAATAGGACCGTACATTAAGGGTTTACGAGTCGAGCATCCCATGCGGATTCTGTTGCGCATCAGGTTCTGCATGGCTGCATGCGTACCACTGAGCATGAGTCTGCCACCCGCCTACTCCTCTGCAACCATTATCGGCCCTTAGATTCTTGTTGGATGGTAGATACAAGGAGCTAAGTTACGTCGTGACTTGGAGAGGCTAAGTCACTGAATCCAGCTCTAATTTATCCATCTTTTATTTCATTTTATATGATATGACAGTCTTCAAAACCATGTCATGAAACTCTCCACAGAGAATAGCTTTAGGGGCGTCTAGCCCACGTCTAAAATCTAACATAATGCACCGGACTGCTGCTGTGCCGCAGATAAGCCCCTCCCGACAGCAAAATCCCCATATGAAGCACTAGTTGATAAGCCAATCACAAAACATGTGGTCATTCCCAATTCCCAATTTCAAATAAAGCTTCTCACCAGCGATTAGGCTCCCTAATAAAGAAGATATGCAGCAGCTCCCCTTTATCTAAAAGACTTAGCTAATATATTCTGGCGGTTATACATGTTCTTAAATTCCTTGTTTGGCGCAGCCAGTGGCGACCAGCACATTTCCTCGTCGAACACCTCCAGTGGCTTCGGAGCCATCTAGGGGACGTGGTCAGAGCGTCAGCGGTACCACAGAACCACTGGGTATGTATACCACAAAGCTTTATATCATGTCCATCTATCTATATAAACCTTAAAGTTGGAGATAATTTTCATGTTCATAAACAGTGTTCCCTGTAGATCTACAATGTTAAAATTTAGTTTTTTCCCTCTTGGTCACCTAAATAAAGGTTTTGTTTGAATTAAATGGTCTAAAGTGTAGTTAGACCATATCACCTCCTGATGCTTCAATTCATGCAAATTAATGATCTAAAATGTTGTCTAAAGTTTAGCCAACCTTATAAAAAAATCATTAGTTTATCAGACCACATAAGTGAGCTAAAGTGGTCTAAAATTTAGCTCTTAACTTTAGCCAACTAAATTTTAGACCAAAGGATCTAATAAAGATCTAAAATGTACTACCTTCTCGCTAAAAGAATTTAGGAGACCATCTTTATTTGATTTAGTTTGTCAAGAAATCGTAGCTTGATCCATGTTAGCACTTTTCCAATGAGCCGGCGTGAAGCGGAGTTCCTGCTAGTTTGTCAGAAACTCATGTCTGCTTAACTTGTTAGATTTTTTTGCAAAAGGAAAATTGACTCTCCATATTATATAATGGTTTGGACCACATAGAAGTTGCTTTATCGACGGGAGAGATGAATGTATATACATTGGAAGAAAGTGCATATTTCAGATATATTTTTTATTTAACATGTTTGGTAACAACACAAGGAGTTTATGCTTGTACACACTGAAGATGACCTTTGCCAAAAAAAAAAGATCCACCAATTAGTCGGACAAGCAAATTTTGAATAATTTTATACTTTACTCCCTACATCTTTAAAGAAATGACATGTTGTGCACTAATCTCCAAACATGGAAAAGATGATTAGATCTATCGTGATGAATATGAAGGCGCAAACGGGACACCGGAGGCACAATCACTAGGACAAGGAGTTGTGTGATTGTGTCCATCAAGATTCTGCTATCCAGACCTCAGATTTGCAATAGCAGAGCTAGTAGCAGATTCCACGGCCTGGCTCAGGGCGTTGTTGGATAGTTATTTTTTTGTGCCAAGGTTATTTCAGATAATTGTGCTGGAGCTGTATCATTGTCAGTCTAGCAACATCCTCTCATTGCCACCAGTTTCTCTCGCAAAATTCTACCGGGATCAGAGCATCTCCCTAGACCATCGCTTTGTGGTGGATTCTGCTGGCTGGCAGCCAGCTAGCTGCTGCCTTGGTTGCCTCTCCCTGGCATCTCTTCATGAAGAATGAGACAGCCTGGAGCGGCTTCCATATATTGTAGCGAGAAATTGTTTTTCTTTCTCCACTCAAAATAGATTACTAGGAGCTAGCCAGTGAAATCATTATTTTTTATTTCACTAACTGCGGCTTCTTCACACAATGTAGCAAGAATTTCATTTAACACCGTATACAATTAAAAAACATAGATTGTATCTTTGGGTAGATGCGATTTTTTTGAAGATAACAGGAGAGGTCCTTTACTAGACTTTATTAAAAATAAAAAAACTAAAGAGAGTGCAAGGTGGTTTCTGGTAGATACGATTGTGGGAGTTTAAAAAAAAAAAGATACTATTGTGGGACGAAATCCAATATTTTGGACAAAAAAAAAATATGGGCGACACCACAGCGCCACACACACCACTCAGAAATGCCGACAAGCTCATTGGAATCAACTTTTAGTTTCTTGTTACGCCCAGCGGTTTCACACTAGTGTGATGAGAGCTCGAAGCAACCGTGTGTACCCCTGATGGCGATGTTGACCTGGTCAAATTTGGGCGATGCTGATCTGGCCTGCCTGTGATTCCTTGCGCTAAACCGCTCTGCCTTCTGCTACGCACAGGCGGCTACTTCGTCGCTCATCGTCCCACTCTCTCCGGAGGAGGCTGCCGGAGACTCGCCATGGCCGACACCTCGGGCAATCCTGCCGGTATGCTGCTCAGCCTTGACATCTACCTTACCATTTCTGTAAACACAAAAACAAGCTCGATCGAAACGATAGGCAGTAGCGTGCAGACTACTCTCGTTTCCCTTGTGCGAATCACTTTGATTCTTCATGGTTTTCTGTGGCTGCAGATGGCTACTACAGTGGCCGTCCCCTGGGCCTGGAGTACGATCTGCAACAAGCGCAGGCAGTGCCGGCACCGCCGCTGGAAGCAGCACAGCCGCAGCCACGGCAGGATGTTGGCGATCAGGTCGCCAACCACACTCATGTCCATGGCGTTCCTGGTGTGTGTTAAACAGATCCAAACTTTTCTTCTCAAATCTCACACCTAATCCCTCGCTTGGTCTTTTCTTTCAAAGTCCTGTTTGATGCCAGTAGCATCTGTCAGTTTCAAGTGCTCTGTTTGATTCCTTTGATTTGGTATACGAGCAGGATACTATAAAGGCCGCCTTAGCAACACGAACACTGCTGTAGCTCCTCTTTCAGCAACAGCTGCTGTTGCTCCTCCTCCTCCTGCTCCTGCTGTTGAACCTGAAATGAAGCTGAGCTGGATTGACAAATGGTAAGTAGCACGCAACGTCTGCTTCAATTGATATAGAAAATGGTACCATCTCTAGAGCTCAAGTATACTCACTGACGACGACACTGCTTTGTGTAACCTTAATTATTTTTGCTTGGTGTGGCGGTTGTGTGGTTGCTATCTAAAGCCTCATGTGCTTCACCGGCGGCAGAAGCACGAGGTAGCTCAAGAGTCAAGACATCCGTGGTCGGCCACGTTATTGACGAAGTTAGAGCGAGATTGCACGGCTGTGCTTGTTTTGATGTACAGAGAAATGTTGAGATCTTTGTTAGTTCTTCCCCATGCTAGCGCTATTCATTTGTACAACTGCATGCAGAATTGCAGATGCAGAGTCAGTGAATCTATTTATGATCCATCAGTTGGATTGTGTTTAATGATTTAAATCTGATCGTTTCATATGATTTGGTATATATGATGGATAAATAAACACCACGGTGATGGGCTCCTCTTCAGCTGCAGCAAAGTCTGATCTAGCTTCGAGGATATGGGGTGATTACTAATTAGTGCAATGAGCATGGTGCCAAAATGAGTCTCTCACTTGTCGATTGGTCAGTAGTGATTGGAGTTCAAATTAGGCACATTTATCCTCAAGGTTGTTGTCACTTGAATCTAGCATCGTTTGCACAAGATACTTATGTACCTGATATAGTGCAACATGGTCAACCGTCAGCACAATGGTATATTGTGTTGCCCTTCATCTTTGGTTGACTTAATGGCTGATCTCTGAATCAAGCTTGTAGAAATGTCATGAGGCACCCCCTGCTTTGAGTTCCCAGAGCAGTGGGATTTGATATTCCCCATCCATCCACACTACCTGAATATTTCAATCTTACCATGGTGCTCTAGAGTTTGGGGGAAGCAAAAAAATTGTTTCATTTTGCGCAAATAGATTTAACAAAAGTGAAGCTATAACAACACTCCAATAATGGTATTTCTTATCATGTTTTTTCATTAAACATGGTGTTACTAAACTCAAGTTAGTTAAGTTTATTAGGATGAAAAGCAAACATATATTTTAACTATATCACTCTATTTAAAAATGCTAGGACTCAATGTCCTTGCAATATTTAAATAATAATGAATATAATTATGCAACTTTTTACAAATTACATTTATGCATATATTCAAGCTTGCTTATAGTAAGTTCAGTTTGATAAAGGGTCATCAAGAATCAATATGGTCACATCATTAAAGGATGAGGCATCGATGGAATGGATCTTTTCATCGCATGATTTGAAACCATAAAGGTGATAATAACCCTAATCAAGTTCTTGAATTACACATGATAAAAGACAGTATAGAGTGTTGCACTAGACCGATACTTAAATGAGTTAAATTTAGTCCTTCAATGTGTTAGAACAATATGAAATCGTACCTATTGCCGTGTCATCCTATTTATAAAATGATAATCAATTTTTTAATTGCTTTGGTTTAAGAGGATGGAAGGGGGTATAGAGAGAAAAGGGTTAAGAAGATGAATGGGAGTTACATGAGACAGAAAACAGGTAGGAAAAAGGAGTAGGAGCACAATAAGATGGGGGAGGTAGGGAATAAGATGAAGATGGTGATAAAGGGGAATGACAGCCATGTGCATGCTGACATTTATTTATAGAAATTGTGCAAAAATATTTTAAGTACCCTCATCTAATTTATATCTATAATATATGCTTTCTGTAGTACTAACAAAGGAGATATGAACTTAGCAATACGTCATATCACACATAAATATTTAAGGAAAAAGTTCATTTTTGACCCTTCAACTATGGCTGCAATTTGTTTCTAGCCCTCTAACTCGAAAACCAGACACGCACAATCTCTTAACTCTCAAAACCAGTTAAAATTGGCCTTCGCGTCCATTCGACCGCGGTTTTGGCCCAGTCAACCCGCCACGACGGCGGTTTCGGCCCAGTCTCCATGTCTGACGAGCTGGACCAGCGGGGTCCACACCGCGTCCTGGTACTCCCACGCTGCCTCCTCGGCCGCCGCCTTGTACCGGCGCCGCATGGTGTCCTCGCCCACCAGCTTCGCTAGCTCCGAGCCCCGGGCGCGCATGTAGATGTACCAGTACGCGTTCATGGCCATGACGTGCGACGCCACCGTGTCCGGGCACACCCCGCGCGCTGCCTCGACGTGCCGGTGCAGCCCCTCCAGCACGCTCGCCGTCGCCTTGGCGAGCGGGGTGTGGTCACCGTCACCCGCGTCCTCGTCCTCGTCCTCGTCGCCGCGCTCTAGATCCGCGCGTAGCGCGGTGTCCATGAGCGTGAGGTAGTCGTCGGACGCGAGGCACTTGAGGTAGTTCACGGCGTACCGCACGATCTTGGGCACGTGCCTAGCGTCGGCGCCGGCGCCGGTGACGTAGCGCGTCTCGATGCGGAGACCGAACTCCAAGAACACGCCGGACGCAGACGCGCAAATACATAACGCTCCACCTCGCTAGCGTGCGCTCGCGGATGGCGACCAGCGTGGCCGACTTCGGCCGGAGAAGAGCTCGTCCAGCGCTCCTCTCCCGCCACCGCGTCGAGCATGTTGAGCTGCTGAACAGACTCTGCGGCTCACGCTACCGCGACGGCCACGTCGTCGTCATGAAGCGAAGAACTCCGCGATGTTGCGGCGGCGATCTTGGCGGCACTCAGGCCGAACCGGTCTAGGCGGGGTTCGAGCATGCGCAGCATGAGCCGGCGCTCATGGCGAAAGCACGCAGGCGATAGCCACGTGGAAATCACGGGCTCCATAGCGCCATGGTTTACTCCAGCGACTCCCACCCATGGCGTCGATCTTCTCCGGGTGTACAACTTTAGGTACGCGGGTTGAGCCACATCATCGCCTTGGTCGCTCTCCTGTACCTCGTTTGAGTGACGCGTCACTACCGTTATTTCGATTACTCGCGCGCATATCGCCATTTGCAAAAGGTCAGAGAGGTTAGAGAAAATGATTCACCGTGGCGTAGATGTCGAGGCGATGTCCAGCGCCGCTGTTTGCGGCGTCCCCAGCCATCCTTGCGGCGGCCTCCACCTGCGTCGCCGATGCCTAGCTCACTTTTGGCGCGTTTCCTCCCTCGGCGGCGACGCCGTTTCTCCACGGGCGCCAAAGATGGCGAAGCCGTAAAAAAAATTTAGGAGGGGCACTACTACACGAATCAATTTGCGCAGTGGTGGCCAAAATGGGCTCGTGTGGCGGGCACCACTTTTGCCCGCCACGGTTAACCGGTGGTGGGTACATCACCGAGGCCGCCACCGAGGCGCCCATTGTTGGAAAAGGGTTTACAGCGGGCCACCTTACTTGCCCGCCGCAGAAATTTATATTTACCGGTGGCGGTATGAATGGCCCGCCATGGTTAATAAGATTAACCGCGGCGGGCCACATTAACCCGACCGCCAGCAGAAAATTTATATTTACATGCGGCGGGCGTATAAATTGCCCGCCATGTTAATAGTATTTACCGTGGCGGGTTGTTTAAACCGCCACGCCATGTAAAGCCTCTATAAATACGCCGCCTACTTCATCTTCTCCACGGGTCTTCTCGTTCTTCGGTGTTCGTTTCAGCAGTGTCTCGCTCCTCGTTGTTCTTCGGTGGAGTGATAATAAGGTTACAAATGATTTTTTTATTCTTTAGCATAAACTCTTAGCCTTAGCCTCTTAGTTTATTTCACGTAACTAGAAGAAGCTACTTTTTTTAGCTCTTAGCCTCTTAGTTTATTTTAGAGAATCGCTTCACACAATCAAGAGAATCTCACTCTAAAAATACCGCTTAGCGTGCGTAGAGTGATTTGCCTTTTCCGGCATTTGGGGATCGTCTTTTACGGGCATGTGTGACCAACGTCCACCGGCACTACTTGTATGGAGGCTCTTTCTTATTGCTATATTTTGTTTTTTGCATGTACTTGAGTTGATAATCAAACTTCAAATGCTAATATCTATTTAATCATGTGTCTAATTTGTAATTTCTTTTTACTATAATATTTATTAAGAATTTATCTACAAAACAAGATTCCACATAACCATATTTACTTGAAGGAAAAAATCAAGAATTTAGCTTGGTTATCATCTAAACATTTTTTTGCTACGCTAGATTTTGGCACAAGCCATATTTTTGGCTCCGTCAAAAATCAAATATCATTTTAGGCCACATTTTATCACGGCTTTCAGTTTGATTTTGGTCAACAAAATTTGAAACCAAACAAGTAGACGTGTCTAATCTAGTTCATTAATGCCGGGCATCAAGTAGACGTGTCCGAAATACATATCCGAAGTTGCTAGTTGTTGGCATTTCCTCTCTTTTCATGATGTTGGACGAAAAATCATCAATTTCTCCTAATTCTTCTTTAATTAATGTTGATTGTGACGGATAATTTTCGCAGTATGATGGATAGGTCGGAATGGATGTAACCGGATCGATAGAGTGAATGATCTGCGTACCTTTTTTGAATTAAGGAAGTTTATTATCACTTTGGTAAAGCTCACCGTGAGAGACCAAGCGGATGACAACCATATGTCCATGTTCTCGTTGCAAGAACCTCGAAAGCCCACCGAGACAAATGATGTGCAAACTCATTTGATCATGTATGGTTTCGTCGATGGCTACACACCGGACATTTCACGGCGAAAGAGTTGGTGCGAGTGGCGGTGCATCCGGAGTGAACTCTTCAACACCGACGGCAGACAAAGACCACCGGTGAATAAAGATCCTTTAGGAGCACCCGGCTCCTCATCATCTTCTTCGAAAGAACATTGCGCCGGTAATTGACAATGATAACGATTGTCGTGATTACATCACGGTGGATGATCTAATACAAGACATGTCCGACAAAGCCGGCGACGGTGGGGATGGTCAGGATACTGTGAGCCAACCCGAGGATGTACAGCTTGTTGAAGATCTAGTCAAACACTTCGATGAAGACGACGTTGTGTTGGGTTGCCCAAAGTGGTTGGAGAATTTCAGAGAGTTGAAGCAAAGTGCGCTTGATCCTCTCTATAAGGACGGCGGCGATTGTCCGGCGGAGTGCACGGCGCTCCGCTTTAACCTCCATATGTTGATGTTGAAGGCTCGTCATGGTTGGTCTGACACTAGCTTCAATGAGTTGTTAAGCTACCTTGCCACCACGTACCCAACGGCTAACAAGGTGCCCGCCAATACTTATCGGGCCAAGAAGCTGATCCGGCCAGTGGCGATGAAGCTTAGAAAGTTTGATGCATGCCCTAACCACTGCATCCTGTATCGGGGCAATGAGTATGAGAATTTGATGAGTTGTCCGCACTGTGGCTTTAGTCGGTACAAGAAAAATGCTTTGGTTGTCGCGCGTGGATGCGTAAGACGAGGAGGCTTATGGAGTGGTCGGAAGAAGAACAAGAAGGGGGCAAAGAAGAGCAGTGCGGCCAAACAGATCTCGGCTCAGCAGGACGATGAAGAAGAGGGTTACACGCACAGAAAAAGTCCAGCACTCTGGCGGTGTGGTACCGCCCGTGACCGATGCCTGCGTGCAATATTCGGGAACCCGGACGATGCCAAGCTCATGTCCTGGCATGCATCACCGACCACCGAAAGACGATGGCAAGCTACGGCACCCATCCGATGGCAAGCAGTGGAAGGATTTCGACGAGGCCTATCCGGAGTTTGGCAAGGAGCCCGCCGCGGTTAACCTATTTATCGCGGCGGGCGGTGTAACGTGCCCGCCGTGGTAAAGTATATTTACCGCAGCGGGCACGCCTACACCACCCGCGATAAATAGGTTAACATGGCGGCGGGCAAAGCCGCCCGCCATTGTGTTAAGCCACGATTTACCAGGGCTCAGAGGGTCATGCAAGCGGACGGCTTTGCCCGCCAGAAACCCAAATCGCCCGCCTCCAGTAAACTTTATGTAGTAGTGGGCTGAACAAAAGAATAGAGACTTTTTTATCTTCTCTTAACCTTAGCCCCTCCTACCTAATACATGTATGCATAAAATTTTAAGGGAGGACTTAGGGGAACTCCACGTACTCAGGATGGGTAGGGGGGGCTGAAGCCCCCCTAGCCCCACCGCTGGCTTCGTCCCTGGGCGCCAGGTGTTTCAGCCCGAGGAGCAGTGCCTCGAAGAGCTCCTAGAGGCCGAGGAGAGCATCGTCGAGTAGGCCCTCGAAGCACATCTCCTCAGCTTCTGTTTCGTACACCACGCGCAGCGCCGCGGCGGCCTCGGTCAGCCTCCGGACGTGGCCTCGGCAGGCCGCCTTGGTCCGGCCCAGGAAACCGACCGCCTCCTCCACCCTCCGGACGGCCTCTTCGCCGCGTGCCACCACTTCCTCGATGGCGTCCCGCAGCTGGTCCACACAGTCGAAGAACACGACCACACTCTCGGCGGCTCCCGGGTTCGCGGGTGGCGCGGCCTCCTCGGTGAGCGCTGACACGCGACGGAACGCCGCGAGGAGGGGCTCGGCCGGCGCGACAGCACGGTCCATGCGTGAGCTCAGCGCGCGTGCCGCCACGGCTTGGGACTGGGGGTGGTGGGAGGACGACGGCGAGGCGGCGGTCACCGATGGCGTCGATTTCGACCTCAGCCTCGGCTGCGGCTGAAAGCACCGAGACGATGGAAGCTCGCGATGTGGACCCGGCTCGTCAGACATGGAGACTGGGCCGAAACCGCGATCGTGGCGGGTGGACTGGGCCGAAACCAGGGTCGAATAGGCGCGAGGGCCAATTTTAACTGGTTTTGAGAGTTAAGAGACTGCGCGTGTCTGGTTTTCGAGTTAGAGGGTTAGAAACAAACTGCAGTCATAGTTGGAAGACCAAAAATGAATTTTTCCCAATATTTAAATTATACCAGGATATGTTGACATACCCTATTGTATCACTGCAAAATTCAATTATTTATTATATAATAAATATGAATTGACTAGTAAACAAATTTATTAATATTTATTCATTATGTATGAAATGGTTTTTTTTAACATAATAGGTGCCTATTAGTTTGTACAAACCAGTCCGTGCATATGCAGTGACCTTTGGAGCACCCAAAAGTCCTAGCAAGCAAGTCAAGTATTTCTTCTATCATGTTAATAGGTAGCATCATGGACTTTTGGAAGTTCACTCTTAGCCCTGTGGATTCAGTGAAAGTGTTAATGACAGATTTTAGAAAAAAAAACCCTGCCTGGCAGCACCCTCAAGGATAATCAATGTGTCATCAGCATATTAAATGATTGGGAAGTCATTGTTTGATTCTAAGGAAATTGGTAATCTGAGTAGCCCTAGCTCTTTGCCTCGGTTCGCCGGTGACTGTAGGAAGTCGGCAGCTAGCACAAAGAGGAGAGGTGAAAGGGGATCACCTTGCCTCACTCCTCTTAAATAATTGAAGGTTTTTCCAGGTGTCCCATTTAGGAGTACTGCTGAGGTTGCTGAAGAAAAAAATTGGTTCATCCATCGTAGCAACTTCTGTCCAAAGCCTTTTTTCTCCATTATAGTGAGCATTGCTTGGTATTCCATCTTGTCAAAAGCCTTCTCAAAATCCAGCTTTAGAATAACAATTTCCTTCTTTGAGTTGTGACATAAGTGCAAATATTCCAGTGACCGAGCTAGGCAGTCTTGGGTAGTCCTTTCTTTAATAAAACTATATTGACTTCTGTGGACTAGCTTGGTGATCACTGTTTGCAACCTATTTGCTAGCAGTTTGGTCAAGAGTCTGACTGAAGAGTTGAGTAGGGAAATTGGCCTATAATCTAATACGGTCCTGGCACCATCTATCTTTGGGATAAAAGTAATGAGAGAAGAATTTATGCTCCTCATACACAGACTGTTGTTGTGGAAGTCATTGCATAGTTTATAGAAAATCCTCCTTGATGGTTGCCCAATAGACTTTTAGGAACTCATTATTAAAACCATTTGGTCCTAGTGGTTTGTCATTTAGGAGGTTTTTGATGACAGGATCTGGTTAGGAATGGTTCCTCAAGAAAACCTAGATCTTCCCTTCTTTCTAGAATTTCAGTTGGATCAAGAGCAAACCCTCTAAAATCTGTCTGCCTCTAAAATCTGTCTGCCCCAATCTCTCCTTGAAACTTTCCCAAAGTAGCAGCTCTTTGTCCTTGTGTGCAGTAAGGATGGAGCCCTCTCTTTCTTCAAGATGAGTAATAAGGTTTGATCCGCTTCTTTTTTTATCCAGAACAGTGTTTTTCTCTCACAAAAGCAGTCGTGAACAGTAAAAACCAGCCATGAACAGTGCCCTTTCTATACCAGCCGAACGAGGCCTATGTGTCTAATTGTAGCATTTGCATGGAAGAACATTGTTGTTGCAACTCCTAATTTCACCCATTTGATGGCTCCTCTTTGTCTCCAGTAGGCCTTTTGTTGCTCAAGCAGAGGTAGCAACTTTGCTTTCATTACAATTCTGAAGTTCCATTGTGCAATGCGAAGATCTCGGAATTCTTCCAGAAGGCACTACGTCAAATATGATTTCCAGGGGCGGCTACAGTGCATTTGTAGGGGCGGTTCGGCCAGCCGCCCCTACCATACCGTCTCTACAAATCATGCATTTGTAGGGGCGGTTCCCAGACCGCCCCTACAAATCGATTTGTAGAGGCGGCTGGTGTTACTAATAGCTCCTACAAATCGATTTGTAGGGCGGTTGGTACTGTAGTCGCCTTTACAAATCGATTTATAGGGCGGATGAGACACACCACCCCCTTTACAATCGATTTGTAGGGCGGCTCTGATTCACCACCGCCTTTAAATCGATTTGTAGGGGCTACACTGACCAACCGCCCTACAAATCATTTTTCCGCCAAAAAAAAAATTAAATTTACAATTCACGTTGTTCTCCATACAATAGGCTTTAGAGTCGAAATTAGAATAAGTAAAGCAAGAACATATGAAGAAACATAAATGTAAGTAAATCAGTTACTTAGTCAACAACATCTTATACATAGACAAGTTAGACACAATAAACCTGAAATGGCCCACCCAACAAATACATCATAAGGCTTCCCACAATCAAGTGTCTCTAGCTTAGCTAGCTCAGTTTCCTCTCAATTACCTGAATAAAAAGACATTTTACATGCAATGATGATTGATGAGCTAAACTGTGTGGCGCTTGGGCAATAAAAAGAAGAGTGACCCTTTTCTTAAGGACTACAAATTAGTATTACAAACATGGCAATAGTGCTACTCCTCTGTTTTAGGACATAGCATATATCTAGATGCATAGATACATAGTTTTATTATGAAGTCAAGCATCCTAATTGACACATAGCAATACTAGATCACAAAATATTCCTTAGACATAGACTCATTGGTCAAGTAAGATTCGTCTCACCGCCTTCATCATCGAGGATACAACACTAGATCACAAATTAGCATGCACAAGGAAACTTAGTGCAACATCCATTCGAATATGGACAATTCTTCCATGTCGCATTAACTCAATGCGCTCTTCTTGAAGAAAATATTTCGATCGCCATGTTAGCATTATCAAGTGGGGGTCTGTTTTGTAAATTAGTCCAAGAGTGCTTAGACTATTCTAGTTACAATCCTTCAGTTGTGAATATTGTTGTTTTGGAAAGAGATAAATGAACCTACATCGCTTATATGATCGAATAGAAAATGGTCGGAAGCTCAAAACACTGAACTGCCAAAAGCAGACGGGCCAATGTGGTAGCGTTAGAATTTAGATAACACATGCAAAGTGACTCAGGAGTGCACATCTATGATGATTCAGCACGTTGAGCACATTCAAAATCACAGTAAGGCATATATTGGTCATTCAAGTACATGCTAAGCCGACAAATCCAATACACAATGACGTAAAAACCATCAAATAGTCGAAGTTCAAGAAAGTTATTGCTATACCAACCTTTGCCATACCAAATCAGTTTGGCTTATAAAACCTTGATCAGTTGCTAGGAGATATAGACTTTCGTTGTACTGCAGAATAAATATACATAAGAAATAAAGACAACTCCAGTTCAAGTACTCAAACTACGGAAGAAGACACAAAGCTCACTTTCATTAAGTCCCTCTTGTAAACAGAAGAGACCGCGACAATGAAATTTGACAATGTGATAAATGAGAATACAATTGAGAACATGTATTTAAACCATAGATTATTAGAAATATACCCATAGACAGTCAGCTAGTTAGCAGTGTTCTGCAGAAAATTATCAATCAGCTCCCCTAAAAATAAATCAATTTAAGTGTGAAGCCAAATATAGTAATTCTTGCATTGTACAAAGAGATTCACGCATGTACAAAAGTCAATAACAAAAAAGAAATCTCACATTGATGTTCGTGGCCTTGTCATCCACGGAAGGGCTGCTTTCCCCGATCTTGTCACCGCTGCTCAAAGAAGAACCACCTCCCCCTCATACACCGGCTCTTGATTTTCATACACCATATTTGTGGTGCCAAGTACGTGCTCTTCACCTTGGTATATTGGTTCACATTCATGAATGCTTGAAGGTAGAGGCTCAGATTTATCTAAAAATCACTTTTCACATCCGGTTATGTTGTAGCATGACTGAACAGCTCCACAAGTTGCAACCGATCATAACCAACAAAATAACTATCAAAGCAAAGAACTTGTGTTTCATCTAGTTTGATAAGTAATTGACACTTACAAGTAAACAAGCAATCTAAGCACGTATGGGCATAATCGCACGGATTGAGTAAATCAGAAATAATACATCATGTTTTACACTTGATTAGCGGATTAAAGTACATCACCTTAACCTTACAATTCCGGGTGTGATCCAAATCCGAAGATATGAATTCTTTAATTTCATCCTGTAAGTAATATAGCATCCACTTAAAATGATCAGTTGGATCAAACTAAATTAAAAAAAACTTCATTTCTCCTAAAAGGAATATCGATCAATCCTTAGTATACTTAGTGAAAGAAATTAGTAGAAGATCTAAGCACAAAATGTAAAACATGTGCTTTGGTGAATATCGAGATCAATCCACATCCGTGATAGAGACTACATTATCTCAAGTCATTGCCACCCCATTTGCCGAGGTGCATGCGAGTATATCCCGGGAGGTGGACACCTTCACCGGAGATGCGCCATCCACGAGAAGGTCCTCCGCCAACCATTGTGCTCTTGGAGGACCCACAACAACAAGGGTAGCCGTCCTCAGCGCGTGAATTGCGCTTTGCGATGCAAATGGATGACAAGATGCATAGCACGATGAAGGTTGTTACAGCTTGCCACTTCGTCCTCCCCAAAGTAGCCATCATGATGTTGACCTGAGTAAAAAGTATGTTCACAATGTTCAGATGCCATGCATGCAAAACTATAATCCCATCTCGAGAAAAGGGGAAACAAAACAATTGGTGCAATGTCAATGCAAAACTGTAATCCCATCTCGAGAAAAAGGGGAAACAAAACAATTGGTATGGTCACGAGCAACTACCGTGCAAGAACAAGAACATGCCGAGTTGCTCATCACTTGGGGTCATGGATCTTAAAAATAAATTCGGGACATTAAATTCGAGTTGAATCCCCAAAACTTCGAAAACAAACCGCATCGGCAACTTTGGCTAGATCGATCTTGCCTAGCGCCCATGGCGTAAAAAGCGAAGAAGCTAAAAGAGGTATGGTGGAGAGATTAAGAGCTAGCAATTGCATCACTCTCCGTGCTTCCGCACTCAAGCAAAGACAAACAAATCCAAAGGGAGACAGATTTGGATCTCGATTGCCTTCGCCACGGCAAAAAAAATGCCCCCAAGAACAACTCGAGCTCCTAGATCGAATCAACCGAACAAGGAAGCTAGGTTCACTTACCACCAAAGAGGGAGAAGAAACGGATCCGAGTCCGGCGCTGAGAGGATTAGGGTTCCGATGGGGAGGCATCTGAGTTGGCCGCGTGAGAAGGGATGGGAGGAGGAGATACCGGATCTACGGGTATGGTTCAAGCAATCAACGATTTACCTCGGGCAAAGAAGTCAGATCACAGGCGACAAGACTGGGGGCGGTGGGCGGTGACCAGCAGGAGAGGCAGCCTTCGGCTCGATCCGGGACGAGGGGAGGAGCCGAGTAAGGAAATGGTGCAATGGGGGAGGAGAAGGTGGAGAAAGGCGGCCAGCCGCCATGCCCCTGGCCAAGACCAGCGCCGCCACCCCTGGTCCAAGCGTCGAGGGAGAGAGGGAGCGAAGAGGAGAGAGACTGAGAGAGAGAGGAGGAAGGTGAGAGAATTTTGTGGCCGATATATATACAGCGGCATTTGTAGGGGCGGTCGGTGATTCAGCCGCCCCTACAAATAGAAACACTGGGGGCGGCTGGTGAGTGAGCCGCCCCTACAAATCAGACCCATTTGTAGGGGCGGCTCGTATCACCAGCCGCCCCTGCTGTTCTATTTGTAGGGGCGGCTGGTGTCTGGGTTCCCGAGCACGCCACTGTAGGGGCGGCTCCATCACCAGCCGCCCCTAAAAAAAATTTCTCCCGTTGCTAAAAATCATTTTTTACGTAGTGAGGTTTAAAAACTGAATCAGTGATTTTGAGTCGGGAGGATATGTTGACATACCATATTGTATCGCTGCAAAATTCAATTATTTTCTGTCTAATAAATATGAATTGACTAGTAAAAAAATTATCAATATTTATTCATTATGTCTGAAATGTTTTTTTTTATAACACATAGGTGTCTATTAATTAGTTTGTACAAACCAGTCCATGCATATGCACTTGTCGAAAAATAGTATACAAACATACAGATACTCTAGTAAAAGCAGACAATGGGTCGTCACACACATCTTCATACAATACTGTGGCTTTTGGCTCCATCGAGATTCCCAAATTAAAACCATGCTGCCCTGCAAAGGCCGCTACATCTTGACAATCAAGCTGCCAAAAACCAGCGCCGTGATAAAGCTACCAAGGGTCCCTGCAATCTCGCCGAAGGTGCTGCTAAACATGTTCTCAAACATGCTGTCGACATTCAGGGCGCCGTCACCCACGTCCCCGGTTAAGGTAGCAGGCCTCCCAGCTGCGGCGAACCATTTCCTTGAGGCACGCCACGTGCAGTTCTACAACCTCATCGCCGTCCACGTAGCAGCGGTACGCCCAGAACCAACGGCGGCGGCCCTCATCCTCTGGGCACAAGGCACACGGCCGCGACGCCCTCCGGTGGAGGTCGAAGGCACGGCCATCCTGGAGAAAGCGGTCCGGCAGGGACGCGCAGCACGGGTGGAGATCGAGGTCTTTATCGGAGCAGTGGTAGACGAAACCCCTCGTGGCCTCGCCACAAGCGTCGCAGACCCTCCTGCCCTCCTCCTGGACAGGGGGCGATGGGGCTTCCTGGAGGACGCGGAACTCGAACTGCTTGCCGTAGCCGAACAGCGGAAGCACCAGACTGTGGAGATCGAACAGGGGATCCCCTGCGAGGGCGCAACGCGTGTGGAGGTCCAAGGATTGGCCCCCGCCGCCGCGATCGCAGGTGTACCTGGGCCCGTAACCGGGCTCCTTGCAGCCGTCGCACAGGAACGGCGCGCTGGCGTCCATCATCAGCTTCAGCTTGTGCTCCGGGTGGGCCGGATGCGAGATCTCGGACAGAAGATCACTGTGCACATTACCACGTTTCTGTTTCTCAGGGTCTGTTTGCTTGGGAGCGGGAGACTCCCAAACATTTTGCTGTCCGGGCATCAATCCTAATCCTAGTCGCAGATAGTCGAAATCTAATGTCTGGGGTGGTAGTAGCTCATCCAGCCAAGCAAAAGGGAATGCTTGATTCGCACCGTGGTAGATGCCATCCGGCGATCCAGCCGAGCTGACACGTCCCAGTCCCAGTTTCATGGCCCTGCATACAATCAGTTTGATTAAACAAGGATAACATTTGAATAAATTAATTAACGCAACGACGCAACCTGTGCAGGCACGAGTCAAAATAATAGAACAGTAATGTTCAGGGGACGTACTGGATCCGGGAATGGTCGTACCTATCTAAAATGGAAGAGAGAACGGATATGAAGTTTGGATGCAAGAAGTTGGAAATGATGGTGTTGGAAATATTCAGAAGTTCCGTGTGGAAGCAACACAAGAGTTTAGAGAACTAGCTTCTTTTTCTGTATCCTAAGTGCCCATGTTTGAACACTACGAGTGTTGCCTGCTTAGCTACAGTTTGGAGTTGGGGTTTTGCTGTTTAGCGGTGTTTGGTTTGGCTACATCCTATGCGCTGTGTTTAGACACTGTAAGGATTGTTTGGTTATCAATAGTCTGGAGTTGGGGCTAGTCTGCTTAGCAGTCTTTGGTCTTAGACCATGGTTTTGTATTGGCTCAGTTTGGTTGTACCCATTCGATTATGAATGTGGGAGACCGGAATACATTTGTTCCTTAATCTAAAAAAAATAAATACAGTAGCATGTCACACCATAGCTAAACCGAGAACAGAAAATAGTAGAAAAATACTCACTTCATCCGTCTTGAAATATGATATATTTTTAGTTTGGGTTTCACACGACCCTCTCGCCCCCGCGTCGCCCGAGCTGCTCCACCAGTCCGGTCCGTCGCACCCTTGCCCCCTCTTCTCCACCTCGCCGTCGCAGGAGTGCTCCGCCGGGAGGCCTGCACGGGCAGAAGGATCGTTGCGGCAGGGTTGCTTTCCTTCCCCTTGGTAGTTGAGGTTGCTGCACGTAGGCCGCTGGCCTTGGCGGCGCTGGCGTTGGTGGCCCAGGTTCCCGCACCCCTTGGCCTGGATCCGTGCGGATCCGGTGTGGTGGTGGCCGCATCCGGTGTGGTGGTGGCCGCATCCGGTGCCCCCTGGGCTGGATCTGTGCTGGACTCGACTGGCGGTGGGCAGTGTGACAACGACGAGGCATCTGGGCAGTGGATATGGCGTCCTGGCGGCCGGATCTAGCCTTCTCGGGGCCAGATCTGGCGCTCCTGCGGTGGCAGCGGCGTGTGGCGTTGGCGCTCGGCTAGCACCGGCTTCGGTGATGGCTGGGCTGCGTCGGTGCGGATTGGTGGCATGGTGGTGCAGCCTGGCGCCAACAGACGTCGTGGTGATGTAGACGACTGCGCTGGTTGTGTGGCGTCGGCGCCGTGGTGGCATGGGCGGCGTCCTCTTGCTCGTTTTTTCGTGTCTACAACCATGGCGGTGAGGCGAGCATTGGTCGAGGAGGCCACAATAGGCTCTCCTAGTTCGGCGACGACAACAGCGGCTGTGTGGCATGGTGGTGTGGGCGGCTTGGGGCTGGCAGAGGTTGCTGGAGTCCGGGCATGACATGGTTGATGTGGGACCGGCTCGATATGGGTTGGGATGTTGGTGGGCTAGGTGACAGGGGCTTCTTCTGATCCTAGCCCTTTTCTTCCCGCCATCTGCCACCCCCTTCCTTGGGTTGTGGCTTCCATGGCGAAGCTAGCTGGATCTTCTCGCCACTAGCCGGCTTTGTCAGTTCCCGCGGGGAGTGGACTCTTCGGCGGGCTTCGCCCAACGCTTTTCCTGGTCGACGTCTTTAGGGGCGGTGGCCGAGCGGGGTTGCTGCTGATCCATCACTGCACCGTACCACCCTAGTAGGGTTCGATCTCCGACGGCGACGGTGTTGGAAGTTCTTGAGATCGGGGCACAAGCTTGGACGACGACGTCTGTGGATGCCGTTCCCTTCTTGGAGGCATCCTTTCCTATCTCTCCTTCTACCGTCCTGGATGTTGCAGGTGAAAACCTTCCCATAGCGGGCTATCTTGTTGGCACTTTTAGTGTCGTTTTCTCCTTGGAAGCTTGGCTAGGCTTTCCAGTTCCGCAGTTACTCCATGTCTTATGGACTGTTTGGTATCACCCGGCTCTTCGTCGTGTTTTTTCTTTTGTCCTTGTCAGTTATTTAGTTGTTTTAGTTGGATTAATTCCACCAAGTAGGAGCAAGTAGTGCCATAAGTTGTGTTAGTTGTCCAGTTGGGGTGAGTGGAACACTCGAGGTCATTTGATATAGAACATTTCTCTATCCAAGGTCATTTAAAAATTCAAAATTCTAGAATTCAAAATCTGAGACTTAATTTATATATTTGGAACCCCAAATGATCTCAAACAAAAATTCTATCAATTACAAAGTTTTAGATCTCATCGAGCTCTACAATTTTGATATAAATTTTGTCTTCGTCCAACTTCATTTAAAAAACATATGAATTTATTTGTGCTGCAACTATTTTTAAGGACGGTTGACTTAGCCAACCGTCCTTAAAAATCGATTTTTAGAGACAATTGACTTAAAAATCACTCATTTTCAGAGGTGGTTGACATAAGCAACCGTTCTTGAAAATAGCATTTTGAGAAGCAGTTCTCTTAACGGAATCGCCCCTAAAAATAAATATATTTTTAGAGGCAGATTTCTTAATGGAACCACCTCTAAAAATTAATTTCTAGCAACGGTTGTATAGCTACATTACCTACCACGAAGGTTAGTGACGGCGTGCTAAGACAACCGCTTCTGTTAGAAAAGGGAGGCGCCTCTGAAAATCATTTATGTAATAGTGTCCACAGTTGTATGGTTTTGGGCCCAATTTCCTTTCAAAAAACTAGGCGGGCACTTGCTTTTTTTCCTTTCTTCGTCTAATAGAAATCGCGGCAAAGCTTTTGCCGTCCTTTCTAAATATATATATATATATATTTTTCAGTTTGTCCCAAATTAACATTTAAGTTCAATCAAGTTTACATAAAAGAGTAGTACAATCTACGACATCAGAGAGATAAATTATAAACATACATTTCATAATGTATCTAATTAAGCTCATTTAGTATTAGTAAATATTATTTCAAAAATTAGTAAACTTAGGGTGTTTGGAGATAACTAAAAATCCATAATGTTCTTGGACTGAGAGAGTAGCTCAAGGATTATCGGTTTGCCTTCTTGTTCAAAGACCGACGATCTTTGAATGGAGGATGTGATAAAATCAATATTAAGTGGCATAGGAGTATTTTTGTCATTTTTATATTTTCAAAATATATAGTTGAAATTTTTTTGGCATTTTTATAGTGTTTCCAAAAAAAATGTCAATACTATAAGACATGCATACAAAGTCTAGTGACATATGATGTACCAAAAGTTTTGAATTTACTATGAACATAGGTAATTTTTCGGAAGAATGTTATACTCCCTCCGTGTTGCTAAAAGAAGTCGTTTTGGATAAGGTTTGGGTCAAACATTGCAAATATAAAAAAGTTTTAAGTTGTTGAGTTTGGAAAAAATATGAAAACCATATGAGTAGATTTGTCTTGAAAAGTCCTTTCATAAAAATATACATATATCACTTTCTAATAAATATTTTTATATAAATAAGAAGTCAAAGTTATGTTTTCAAGACCGTGTCGCTATCCAAAACGACTTCTTTTTGCAACGTAGAGGGAGTATTGTACGATTGATAGTTTACACACAACAAATTAATAAATGGTACCTTTTCCTTTTCTGATTCTTTTTCTTTCTTATGGGCAATAATGACACCTTTTCCAACGGCAGCTGTGAGTCAAGTTTAAAATTTCCCATCTCGTCCAAATCGCTCACAATATCCTCTATTATAGGCCTTTTATGTCTATCATTCTCCATGCACCTTCGTGCAATTACGATGCATCTTTTCACTTGATAGCAGTCTACTTCAAGTGATGCGTACATGGGTATCTCTTGTAGACATTTTTTCCAGTTTTCATGAACCTTCGAAGTCAAAACATAGTACAGTTAACATCAATGAAAATTGGGATCGTACCTAGCAACAAAAAATAGTCTGCCCTATTGCAAATATGGGTTCATATTTAACAATAAAAATCGTAGGAAATTGGCACAATCAGGTGGTCTGAAGATGAGCCTCTTGCACTACAAAACTTGAGTTCTTTTTATCAACTCTAACTAATTAAACAATATAAGCACACAACGTGTAGATTGAAGAGTCTGCAGACTGCACTATAATTTACCCCTTCATTCCAAAGAGTAATGTATTCTAGTTTATCCTAAGCCAAAACTTTCTTTAATTTTGAACAAGTTTATTGAAAAAAAATACACTAATATTAGCGATTTTAAATTAGTTTAACGAGTTCGCTATTAAATATATATCGGTGCAACATTTATTTGGTGTTCTATATGTTAATATATTATTCTATAAATATGAACTTGATGAAAGTTAGAGAAGTTTTACTTGGAAAAAACTAAGAGATTTATATGTAGAATGTAGAGAGTACAAAAACTTATGCATTAACCGAAGGTTCACAAAAGCAACAGGACTAATGCGATTTTGAGCATTGCTACTGATGAAGGGAGAACCGGAGAAACGATATGTTCAGCATCCTTATGATTGGAGGGCGTTGCCATAGATTTTGCTTTTGTTTTTGCTTCCAAAGGAGAATAATTAATAATAGACTTGGCTTCCTGTATTTTTTACCTCTTTCATGTAATGTTTGGTTTCCGTATTTAGCAGCTGGATAGCCGAAAACTTTGTAATAAAAGTCAGGCTGTGTGCTTAAGCAAAGGAAAGAAACTAATCTGTTTTCTCAAAAAAAGTATACAACATACGAAAAACTAACACATGGTAAATCTAAGAGTATTTTGTTAGTATGTCAGATGGTGTGATGCGAACTTGGCACAATGAGAAGCTCCTGATGGAATTCTAGTACGTATTAATAGAAAAACGTTAAATAACATATTCTTACATGTTCAACAAATTCTTGGGCACCCATGTCGGCAACATCTGAGTAACCTGTAATTCCAGTGATAATTTTTGTAATTATAACACCTAAACTGTATATATCATAGTCCTTCGAGATTACTTGATAATTAATGAACTCCGGCGGTAGGTATCCACTGCAGCACAACATTAATGACAAAGGTAAGGTGATATTAAGGTCAGTCTCAATCAAGATTTCACGAGAGTTTCATAGATATTAAATAAGCTGATGTGGTATAATATTAATGAAGAGAGATGTGATAAAAATTTCATGGGATGAAATAAGTTTCATGGGGGGATGAAATGAGCTTTACGGAGATGAAACTTGTCTAAGGAATATATACAATTCAGCTGATTAAAAGCTCTGTCCACTTGAGCATTACTCTTACATTGTTCCTAGAGGAGTCAACGTCATTTTGGTATTCTCTTCACCAATGAGCCTAGATAAACCAAAATCTGATATTTTTGGCATCATCTCTTCGTTTAGCAGTATATTATCTGGTTTTAGATCAAAATGGAAAATGGGAAACTCCAATCCCTCTTGAAGATATTCTAAACCCCGGCAGATTCCCTTAATTATTTTGTAGCATATAGGCCAATTCTTGCCAAGATTTTCACCTGCAAGATAAAAAACATACGTTCTCATCGAATAATTTTATATTCACATTTTTTGCAGGTAAAATATTCATGCAATACGGTAATGACCAACCAGTAAGGAGCTTGCCAAGGCTTCCTTTGGGCATATATTCAAGGCAGAGTGCCCTGTGTATCCTTTGACAAACTATTAGTTTGCCATTGTACTCTACAAGTTCTTCTTTAGCTTCATTGCAGAACCCTACTAGTCGGACAATATTGGGATGCTTGAGGCGCTTAAGGATGTCAAATTCGTTTTCGAACTGCTGGTCATTGGTATTACCCATGAAACGGAGCATCTTCACAGCAACCTCTTCTCCATCTTCCAGCACTCCCTATTCATTATTAGCTTTTATAGTTACTCATACAAAGCTTACTATTATTTTTATGCTCGTATGGATTGGACTTGAAACAAACAAAATAAGTACTCTATCCGTTCTAAATTATAAGATGTTTTGGCTTTTTTAGATACATAACTTTATTATGCACTTAAATATACAATATTTCTAAATACATAGTAGAAGCAATGTATGTTGAAAAATCAAAATGTCTTATAATTTGAAATTGATGAAGTAAATAAATAACTAAAGCACCATTTGTTTTGTCCACATGCATATATATAAGCACCATTTACAGTTTTACCTTGAAGACTTGTCCAAACGCACCGCGCCCAAGCTCCTGGTCCTTGGAGAAATTATTTGTAATAGATTTTATGAGTTCGTATGGTAGCTTCGTTGGATTGTCAGTTGCACTTTCTCGGACTGTTGTCATTCGTTCGGCGTCGCTCATTCATGTTATATGCATTTACTCCTGTACATAAAAATTAGCATCCTGAAGTCCTCTTGTTTTCTAATACCACTGCACCGCTCTTGCTTTTGCAACAAATGACAGAATAATTAGTAATAGAATGACTTGCCTAAGACACTTTATCATGAACGACGGACATCCTACTGAGCAGTAATTGGTGGAAGGTGGGAGTGGGAGATTGGTTAGGCTATCTCCAACAACATTGCTCAAAATACAAGATCCATTTTACGTTTGGGTAACGCTATAGGTAAATGGTCCTGTACCTATTTTTGGTCTTCTCTAACAACAGGACCCAAAAGAGAACCTTTTCTGCAAATGAGTCTTTAGGAGAGAGGATACTCATATTTGGGTTGTACCTTTGCTGTAACCCAAAATGGGTCTCATATATAGGTGCTCTGTTGGAGGCTAATATAGTACCATTCGAGACCCATTTTAAGTATGGGTGCCCATAGGTACTGAAGCTATGGTGGCACCTAGGGATGCAAGGTGGTTTACCGCAAACCTATAAATAAGCTAAATTTTTGTGGTTTATATCTGCGAACTCGCAAAAATTTAGCCAGTTATAGATTCACAGACGACCCGCCTTGTATCCTGGTCATCGCAGATCTGCTTTGAAAATAGCAATGCCATCTGAAAGCAATTTATGATGGCCACGGACCAATAGATAAAAGCAGTTGTAGAATATCAACACCATACCAGGTGAAATAAAGGATTTCATCTTAGCACGATGAAAAAAACGCAGAGAACCTCGGTCCTTGGTGGCGGAACAATCGAGTTGATATTTGAAAACTTTGTATTAATAATAAACAAATTATAGGAATAGAACATTTGGGTCACAAATAAGTTTCCAAGAAGTTAAAATTAATAGTTAGTTAAACAACAACTTTCCAGAAAAAAAAGGAAAAACTCGAGCTTGCTTGCGATCCATGGTCTTCTTCTTCTCGTTCAACAATATCTTGGAGTTGTCACATACAGACTATACCTTACAGTCTAACTGAAAGGTGAAAAGAAAATACACATCTACTGGTGAAAACTGAAAAGTCAAAGAAAATGCAGATGTAGTGGTGAAAACTGAAAACACATCGGCACTGAAAAAATACAGGTCGACTGGTGAAAAATGAAAATGAAGATCTACTCGAGGAATAGCACTCCGAAAGCAAAACAGAGTCCTAGTTCAAAAAAGAGAGAGAGAAAAAGAAGTAAAACAGAATCCCATCAGACATCAGTAGAAGATGAACTAATTCATAGCCATCATGTTACCTCCTAACCTTGGCAAGCAGACAGAGGCACGCACCTCGTGATCACAGTGGAGAACTGAAGATGGATGACTGCATCTCACACCTTCTCAACGCCGAGGGGGCGAAGACTTTTTGCTCGGAAGACCGAAGGGACGAAGACCTCGTTAGCTGCTACCAAAATCGTAATAAAGCTGACAGGTACCCTGCTTGTCTTTTATTTTTTCCGGGTGGCGTCTTCCTGCATGCGTCCTCACAAAGATTCTGACTTTTGCTTCGGTTTACACAATGTCTACTGCCCCGAACAGTTCTTTTTTGGACACAACACCAGTGAGAATGGTCGCACAGCGCACGCTATTTCCGCGATATTACCGAAAAGAATACTTTTTGTATTGTTGACAATCGGAGATCTTTGTATTCGAGTCGGTTAGACAACCACAACAAAATAAATTAAATTTGGGTAAATCTGAGCCATGCTCGCAAAATCCAGTAAAAATCGGTCTACACAAGTTTGGTGACGTTCGGACAAGGCAGGCGAAACTGGCGCAGACAAGGCAGACGAAACTGGCCCAGTCCGGTTTCACCAGAGGACGGGGCGCAGAGGCTGTATGAACCAGTTGAGGATGGTTTTCCTTGTCGAGCCTAGTTCTTCCCAAACTCGACTCTAATTTCTCTGATCTCATGAAAAACATGTAAAACATGACTTGGGAAGGTTTCTAACTAGAATAAGACCACCGTATCCATGTATATCAGAGGATCACAACCCATTAAGGTTATCCATACACAGGCCATGTTCGCTTCTCTTATAATCCGTATTTTTTAGCTTGTTTTTTTAGCCGGAACAGTGTTTTTCTCTCACAACAAATCAGTCGGAACAGTGTTTTGGCTTGTTTTTTCAGCGAAGCGAACGGGGCCACAAAAATCAATCTACTACTACTTTCTGCCACCTCTAGCTATTCCAGCCCTCTGTTATCCGGTGCCTCTCTCAACGAGATTCGTTGATGTTCTAAGTGGCCATACCAATCCTAGGACAGCCTCGACGTGCCCCTCCCCAATGGGTCTTCCCTGGAGGTGTTTGTGAGCTTTTCAGGCGAAGAATGGATGTCAAATCTATGTGGCTGACATCCTAGTCGGCCTTACTGTTTTTGAGCATTATTGTTACATGCTAGGCCATGTGTGGCCTCGGGCACGCTAGCTCTTACTAGTGTGCGACCCAAATCAGCGTCAATAGGTATGTTTGGGCAACGATAAAATTTACTTGCAGTTATTGAACTTGTGCAAAGTTTTTACCTTGTCTTGGTATTTACAAATTGCACACTTAACTCTCTAAACTTGTTCTTTGTTCTCATTTTGGTTCTGATAGTTGCAAATTTCACGCTCGGTTCTCAAACATTGGACACTCAGCTCCCTAAACTTGTTCTAAGTTCTCATCCATGTCCTGATACTTGTAAGTTGCATACTCAACTCCCTAAATTTGTATTGTTTTTGTACCATTCCGGTCCATCCCTTCTACCATATTATGCCGTTAAACACATCTAGGCTCCATTTATGGGGATCATGGGGTTTTGGTGATCGATGAGTACAAATCTATCACTAGTGCGTGTGTGTTTTGCTGGGAGTAATGCAATTGAATGTCACAAATCAGAATAGCCACACAGGTCTTGGCCCCAAGACTTGGTGATTGAAAGTATATGATGCAAAGGATGAATATCAAGGCGAAGGACACTTTAGAGCGAATGTAGCCTGCGATCATGTTTCCTAAAGTTGCTAACTCACCAGAAAATATACAAAAGGATAGAAAGTAAAGAGAAGGATTTTTAAAGGCAAAATAGTCATTTTGGTCCCTCAACTATTGCCCAAGGTTCAATTTTGTTCTTAAACTTCTAAAATGGTCATTTCTGTCCTTAAACCTTACTTTTGGGCCCGGTTTCATCCTAAGCTTATCAAATTAACCATTTTAGCTCTCAAACTTCACACTTTGGGCTTAGTTTCATCCATTGCACTATCAAAGTGCATTTCAGTTGATCTAGTCCTTGAATATTGATGTCGGAAGTATTTACTTTGGTAATACCGATCATTGAATTCGCGTATAGGGAATCAAATAGGTAGCACACAAGACACATGAATTTATACTGGTTTAAGCACGTGGTACCCTAATGAAAGGTCCATGTGTGGTTTTGATAATTGAGTGACAACCTAGGTGGACTAATTGTGTTTATGTGAGATACACAGGTGATTGGTCCACAGGTACATGTGTGTGAGCAACATATGCCATGAAGGTGGAAATGGCTCGGAGATGTTGCAAAGCTCACACATGTGATGATAAAGGAGCTCATTGCACATGAGACATGACATTGAGTCATGTGATCAAGGTGGAGAAGATCAAGACAAGACTTGGCTTGATGTACCGGTTGCAAGAGTGAAGGGCAAGTCAGAGGCTTTGGAGCGATGGACCGCATGGCAGTGAAGCTTGAGCAAGACTTGGCGCCGATGGACGAAGGCAACAGTGAAAAGCAAGTGAAGTCAAGATCGATGAACCAATACGGCCACGTGATGATATGAAGTGGATCATATCATTTGGTGATTGGTTGGTGCATGTGTTGCATCAACAATGGAGGAGATGGAATGGAATGCGCAAGGCAAAGGTATAACCTAGGGCATTTCATTTCACCGGTCATAGGTGTGTAGAGAAGTTGATGATCGGGTTTAGGATAGATGGACGTACTATCAAGAGGGGCAAACTTGTTTGCATATCGATCATCTAGTGCCACTCGAGTGATCAAACTTTGCATCGTCGCTAGGATCGAGTGGCGTGGCAAGTTGAGTGGCTAATCCTTTGGAAAATAATTGAGAAAAAGCAAACACACATACACATGTGGTGTACACTTGGTGGTGTTGACACATTTGCAAAGGAGAAGAAGTTGGTGAAGAAAAGGAGTAAAATGCGCTGGTCATGGGGTGACCGGACGCGTCCGGTATTTCGCGACGTGACCGAACGCGTCCGATATATATACCGGACGCGTCCGGTATTCTGGCCAGGCGTGGGCAGAGTTGCCGAGGTGACCGGACTCTGGCTCGTAGCAATGACAAGACGCTAAGCAATCACTGTTTAGCGTTAGGTCATAGTAACGTGGAGCGCGGGTGTTGGTCCAGAGAGGTCCAGACGCAGGGGTGCGTCCAGTCGGCCACACCGGACGCGTCCGGTCGGAGTTGAGCAGCTCTGGGAGCTCCCTGGAGTCGACCGGACGCTGCCCATCCTGTGTCCGGTCAGTCACACCGGACGCGTCCAGTCAGAGTTAAGCAGCTCTAGGAGCTCTCTAGACTCGACCAGATGTTGCCCGTCCTATGTCTGGTAGGTCACACCGGACGCGTTCGATCGGTGTTGGGCAACAACAGCTATTTCGTTTGAATGGGACACATGGCAGTCATGCAGCGTCTGGATGCAGCGATTGAACGCGTCTGGTCGCCACACCGGACGCGTCCGGTGCAAACGACCTGCGCGTCCGGTCGTCCCAAAAAATACCCAGTGAAGGGGTAACGGCTAGTTTAGCCCGTGGGGCTGTAAATAGAAGGGGGTCTCGGCCATGGCAAGTGCTGAGCACCTTGGGGGACTTTGTGTCCATGCTTGAGAGTGCTTAGGAGCCCTCCATCTCATATATGCTTGATAGTGATCATCCAATTGTGTGAGAGAGCAATTCTAGTGCAATTGCATCATGAGGTTGCATCGAG